TCATGACCTGAGCCGAAGGCAGATGCTTAACGGCTGAGCCACTCAGGTGCCCCATAACTTTCTAATTTTTTATTGCCAAAAATACTACAAAAGGAAACGGCAAAATTTCAGTAATTTGATTTTTTTTTAAAGTGTTTTGGGGGGCGCCTGGGTGGCTCAGTTGTTAAGCGTCTGCCTTCGGCTCAGGTCGCGATCCTAGGGTGCTGGGATCGAGCTCCACATCGGGCTCTCTGCTTGGCGGGAAGCCTGCTTCTCCCTCTCCCACTTCCCCTGCTGTGTTCTCTCTCTCGCTGTGACTGTCTCTCTCAAATAAATGGATAAAATATTAAAAAATATTTAAAACAAATGAGTGTTTTGGCTGAAAAGCCACTGGAAGAGAGTTTTCTGTTAGGGTGACTAATTGTAGCATTTGAAAGTTTCCTTTTTTTTTTTTTTTTTAAGGTCTTATTTATTTGTCAGAGGGAGAGAGAGAGAGCCCACAAGCAGGGGGGCGGCAGGCAGAGCAGGCAGAGAGAGAAGCAGGCTCCCTGCTATGGGACATGATCCCATGACCCTGGGATCATGAACGACCTGAGCCCAAGGCAGCCGCTTAACTGACTGAGCCACCCAGGTGTCCCTAAAGTTCCCTTTTTCTTAAAAATTTTTAAATTGTGGCTTAAAAAAAAAAGTAATTTTAAAAAACATATATTTTTTAGGTTTCATTTATTCATCTGAGTGAGAGAGGGAGACTGAGAAAGAGACAGAGAGCACAAGCAGCGGGGAGAGGCAGAGGGAGAAGGAGAAGCAGACTCCCTGCTGAGCAGGGAACCCGATGCAGGGCTCAATCCCAGGACCCTGAGATCATAACCTGAGTTGAAGGTAGACGCTTAACTGACTAAGCCACCCAGGCACCCCTAAAAATAATTTTTATTACGTTAAATACAGCCATTTTTCTTCAGAGCTGACCAGGATATCTTAAAAGAGTTGACAGCAGAGCTTTTTTGTTTTGTTTGTTTGTTTTTTGACAGACATGCTGGTTCTAAGCCTTTGTCCTAGCAGTCTTCACTGCTTCCTGTTCTTCTAATTTTCTGTATTTCTTATTTACTCCATTTCCCCAAGGGAAAGAATATTTAAATGAGTCACATGGCCAGTTAAGATGAATAATAACTTTAGGTCATTTGGCCAAAGGAATGGGACCCTTATGCCATTTAATTTGATGTTTATTTGGCTTATGGAAGCAGGTTGTAAACATTTGAGAGCTCTAATCAGTATTTTTGTTACAATAGAACTGTAGTGCTTGAGCTTTTTATCTTTTTGCAGCAGATTTTGGCATCTAACTTGTGTTTAAGGTGCTGAGATCTTTTTAACAATTGTGTATGTACTTTTCAGGCAACAGCTGAACAGATGCGTCTTGCTCAAGTGATCTTCGATAAAAATGATTCAGAATTTGAAGCTAAAGTTAAACAGGTATGTTTGTGGCAAAGATACTATTATTTTGATAGTAGAATCTCCCTAGTTACTAGTGTTACCAACAATGAGCTAGACATTTGTGAAGAAGCACACTGACCTTGTCTGTACCTGTGTATAGAGAGTACATTTAGTATTTGGCAAGTTCTCAGAAAATTTTGTTTAATGTTAAGAACCAAATTGCCTTTTCCAACATGTTGATGATTCCAAACATATGCTGCAAAAATATAACATTAAATTTTAGTGTGATGTCTTCATTTAGAACTTTAATGAGAGGCCTTTTTGATAATATAAATTTAAAAATCTTCTCTCCTGATAAGGCTTCTTTTCCCTTCAAGATTCTAGAAATCAAGCTGTATAACCCTTACCTCAGTCCAGACCTTGGAAGAGGTCTACAAATAATTGTTCCTTGAGTGAATGTCCCACAGTGGACTTGTTACTGAGTTAGCTGGAAAAGGAAAGAAGTCTTGGTTTACAGAACAGCAGAATGAAAGCAAAGGAGAGTTTCATTAAAGTATACCCCCAAGGGAGAAGTGGGCTAGTCAAGAGACAGTGGCCCTGGAAACTTGGTGGTGTGGCCTTCTATCAGTTTTTTTCTTTTGGGCGGGCCGTAGGGTTGCAACATTTGAGTGACAGGCCTGGATTATATAATAGCCAACTTTCCCAAATTGTATTCAAAATGCCTGCATGGGGTAAGAATCTGCAACATTATTTCTATTTTAGAGACATTAGGTTAAATAAGGACAAGCTGCTGCTTTCTGCACAAGTGCAACAAGCAAATTTAGCTCTAACTCCTGCCCAGGATGTTGTAACCACAAACCCATTGTTAGATGGGGAGAATGGGGTGGTTCCCAGGCTGTCCTCACTTGCGGGGCTCTCCATTATGATATCTAAGGTCCATCCTCCTATTGCTCATGCCTAGCTTCCTGCCTAACTTTTTTAGCCCTTTACTCTGTAAACTCTTTGTTTATACTTAGAGTTGCTGTCATTAGACTAATAGTAATAGTTTTAGAAGGCCACAAAAAGGATTTATTAAAAATGATAGAACTTGGGTGCCTGGGTGGCTCAGTTGGTTAAGCAACTGCCTTCGGCTCAGGTCATGATCCTGGAGTCCCGGGATTGAGTCCCGCATCGGACTCCCTGCTCAGCGGGGAGTCTGCTTCTCTCTCTGATCCTCCCCCTCTCATGCTCTTTGTCTCCCATTCTCTCTCTCAGATAAATAAATAAAAATCTTAAAAAAAAAAAATGATAGAACTTATTCTCTGGAATGAGATTTATGTATAGCTTGAGACATACTTCTGCATATCGTATTGTCTTTTGTCTGAATAGTATAGCAGATACACAAAAAAGAGCACTGGTCCAGGAGTTCAGAGTTTTATGGTTAAACTTTAGTTTTTTTGTGTGTGTGTTTTATTTTATTTGTTGTTTATTTATCAAGACAAACTATCCCATAACCCAATATTCGTGTTTCATAGTTCAGGAACACAGGTCAGTGACAGACTTCAATGGAACTCAACCCAAAGAAATTCTTTATATTCCAAAATCACTTTGCACTCTGAAAGATACCAGCCTTCTTCATCTCCTCAAAATCTTTCATGGAATCATAATTTCTGTAGAAATCTGCATATGCCTTCTTTCTTGGTTCGGCCACAGCAAACTTGTAGAAAGCTGCAACCCCCAGGGCTACAGTGAACGCTCCAACAATATGAAATCACAGGCGCTTGGCCAGAAGGCCTCGCATCTGAGGTTTCGTCAAAGCACTGGAAGTCATGGTAGTTATTCTCCTCGACACCAACCTCAAACCTAACGTCTTCCCTAACTGATACAGAAATGGACCTAAACTTCAGTTTGATCTCTTACTAATCCAGTCACTGGGGGGTAATTTTGATAATGTTCATCTTATCACTTGCATATTACAGGTATTGGGTTAATACACACACTGATAAAAACTGACGCTAGTTGATATCCAAAGACCAAAGGACTGGAAAGCTGTAGTGTGTGTAGAACTTCCACTGTGCAATGCAGGGAAGAAAGCAGAGAGTGGTATAGTGCAAAGAGCTCTAGTTATGAAATCAGGATACCTGGATTCTAGATAGGCCTTCCTATTAATTAGTTTTTTGACCACAGAAAAATCACTTCACATATTGGCATCAAACCGTTTTGAACAGGTGGTACATACTAAAACAGTTAAATGTGTGTAAAAGCACAAGAGATACTTAAATTATACATTTGTTCACTAATAATTGAGAAACTTGTACCTAATTTGTGATTGTATTTGTGTTGAAAATGCCAAGTAGCTTAATCTCCCTTGTTAAAGAGAATGTACCAAGGGGATTTCTTTGATTACTTCAAACATAGCACGCTGTTGAAGCTGCTTGCACAAGTACTATGTCTAGGAGTGAGTTTGTGATAGTTGTAGAATTGCACTTGTGAGATCTTTGGGTGTTGTCACTTACAAGTATGTGGAGTGTTCTAATCCAAGCAATGATAAACCACCTAGGGATTGTTTTCTTTGTACAAAATAGTTGGACTGGATGTTCAGTTAATGGTGGCCACATACACTTATTATTTGAGTAGTTGCGAATTTTGGGAATCCCAGGCCACTGAACTAAGTTGGAGTAGTCAGAGCTGATCCTGAGTATGCTGAGAATGTTGGTATATATGTATGTGTATACTGCTGATTAATAATCTGATACTTGGTCATCTTGGAGGAGAGTTGAATCTGTCATTTGACTCTTCTGTATTGATGAAAAGACAAGTGATGGTCACAAAAAGCAGGGAAACCTGTTCTTGCATTATAAGCTCAGAATCTGGAAGGAGGCCATCTTCATGTGGAAGGATTGTGTAATTTCTGTTTGTAAATAGAAGAATCTTAGGGGCGCCTGGGTGGTTCAGTCAGTTGAGTGTCTGTCTTCGGCTCAGGTCATGATCCCGGGGACCTGGGATCGAGCCCCACCTCTGGCTCCCTGCTCGGTGGGGGATCTGCTTCTCCCTCTCCCTCTGCCTGCTGCTCCCCCTGCTGTGCTCTCTCTCCCTCTCTCTCAAATAAAGAAAATCTGAAAAAAAAAGAAAAAAAAAAGAATCTTAAAGTTGATATCATGTGCCACTTTGGGGTCCCCTTAACCATATTCTTATAATTTCAACAGCTTATGGAAGTGACGGGGAAAAATCAGGATGAATGCATAGTGGCCCTACATGACTGTAATGGAGATGTGAACAAAGCTATCAATATATTGCTGGAAGGGAATTCAGACACGGTAAGAATTATTAATAAGTATTATTAATTGATTTGCAGTGCTGAGGTTTATCTCCAATTCCATATTGCATTTTGGACTTCACCTTTTTTGGGGTGGGGTTGGAGGGCATTATGGGTTCCATTCCATGTTTGTTTTAAGACCAGAAAGAACACTAACCTGAAATGACTGTTTCTGTTACATATGGTTTCTTCATGAAGTTGTAGAATCTGAAGACTGGAAAGTGAACTTGGTCATCTGCTCCAGTCTTACACAGTTCCCAAATTCTTTGGGCCTGTGGACATTTTCACCACCTGAAAAACTTCCCTTGGCTACTCTGCTCATGTTTCTTCCTCTCAATTGTCATCTCTTTACTACTCCTTGTATCTCTAGACTAACAGAAAACCAGAATTTGCTTGTGTATCTTTTTGCTTATGTGTGAATATTTTACACACACATTTTCATGACCATTTGACAGATAAAATAAGAAAGAAAGGTGTTGTTGTTTTTAAGCTTAGTAAATTTTGAGGATGCAGGCACACTAAAGCTTATCCTTTTTATTTTAGGAAGATACAACTAAAGCCACACTAGGCAGTTCTCAGCCCCAATCTCTTGATTTCTGCATTGAGATTGCACACTGTTTTTCTTTTCTTTTCTTTCCTTTTCTCTTTTTTTCTTTATAAGATTTTATTTATTCGAGAGAGAGAGTGTGAGTGAGAGAGAGAGAGCAGAAGTGAGGGGAGGGTTAGAGAGAGAGGGAGAAGCAGAGCAGGGAGTCCAACTCGGGGCTTGATCCTAGGTCTGTGGGATCATGACCTGAACCGAAGGCAGCTGCTTAACCAACTGAGCCACCCAGGCACCGTGTGCAGTATTTCATTTGTATTTTCTTTTTTAATTAATTAACTAATTTGAGAGAGTGAGCACAAGCAGAGGGAGGGGCAGAGGGAGAGGGAGCAGCAGACTCTCCGCTGAGCAGGGAGCCCAATGTGGCACTCGATCCCCAGGACAGTGAGCCGAAGGCAGTTGCCAACTGACTAAGCCACCCAGGAGCCCCTCATTTGTATTTGCAAAGCACCATTTCAAAACAGATTAAAACAAAATAATGATTCTCCTTAAAATGGGGTATAAAGATGAACAAAACCAAAAGTGCCTTCCTGTCAGTGTTCAGGTTTAATCAGGTTCTCTTTTTTTTTTTAGATTTTATTTATTTATTTGAGAGAGAGCAGGAGAGGGAGGAGGGTCAGAGGGAGAAGCAGACTCCCCGCTGAGCAGGGAGCCCGATGTGGGACTCGATCCCTGGACTCCAGGACCATGACCTGAGCCGAAGGCAGTCGCTTAACCAACTGAGCCACCCAGGTGCCCCTCAGGTTCTCATTTTTAAGGATAAGGCTGTATTAGGGACAGGCTATATAAAAATGAACTGTTGTGACAAGCTCAGAAGTATCTTTATTTAATATGAAATAAAAAGAATGAGTTACATAATTTAAAAAAATCAGATGTTTGGGATAGTATTTCACTATTTGAGTATAGCAGTATCTGTGGGTAAAATTCCATGCAAGATAACACTAGTCTGTCTGTTGGGTAAATACATCATGTTAAGTGACGAAATAAAATTTTGAATAGTTTTTGTCTGCTGATACTTAGGCTTATATTTTCTGTGTTTTATTAAATATGGGGAATGTGTTTACCTCATTGCTAATGGATGCAGTATAGAATGGCTCTCAGTTTTTGTTTTTGTCTTGTTTTTTTTTGTAGAGAGGGAGAGAGTGGGGGAGAGACATAGGGGAGAGGGAGAGAGAGAATCTTAAATAGGATCCATACCAGTGCAGAGCCTGACTCAGGGCTCGATCTCACAACCCTGAGATCATGACCCGAGCCACAATCAAGAATTGGATGCTTAACTGACTGAGCCACCCAGGTGCCCCTAAACTACCTCCTTCATAAAATCACTGTGAATAAGTGAAATATTTCCAAACTGTTAATTGGAGGGCCTGTTTTCTTTTTATATGTTGTAGGTAGGTCAGGATACTACTCTGTGTTGCCTTTCCTTTAGCTCTAGCTGACTTCATTCTTTTTCTGTGGTAGTGGGCTGAAGTTTTAAGTCTTTGTGTTTTTTTTTTTTTTAAAGATTTTATTTATTTATTTCGCAGAGAGACACACCGAGAGAGGGAACACAAGCAGGGGGAGTGGGGGAGGGAGAAGCAGGCTTCCCGCCAAGCAGGGAGCCCGATGTGGGGCTCGATCCCAGGACCCTGGGATCATGACCTGAGCCGAAGGCAGACGCTTAACGACTGAGCCACCCAGGCGCCCCTGAATTTTTAAGTCTTAAGTGAATGTCCAGTTCTCTGTGTTTTACTGAGTTTTAACATCTTATGATCCTTTGGGACTGAACCCAAAGGAGGTAGTTCAACCGAAGAAGTTTGAATGATAAAGAACGTATCTTTGGTTACCTTGAATCTGGAAATCACGTAGTGATTTAGCATCTAGTTTGGTTTCTTCATAGATCAGAAAACAGCAAATTAGGGCCTGAATACAGACACAAAAGGCGTATGCTGGTTGAGAGATGAGAAGGCTGTGGTAGAAATGGAGAAGCAGAGGAAAAGTCCTTTTGAAACTCTGGTTTGTTTAGGATCATTCTTCCATAGTGTTTGTCTTGTCCCCTACCTGATTGCTGTCTGTAGGAGCCAAGGCTAAGCAGCTGTAAGGAATATCTTCCCCTGACTAGGATAGAGTTCATTGGAGTGGAGGTGCTAGACAAAATAAATACTATAGGGTTGCCAGTAGCAAGAACATTTAAACCATGAAAGCAAACAAATCTTGTCCTTTTTGTGCCAGGATCTTCTGAAACAAAATTATTATTAATATTATTATTTTTTAAAGATTTCTTTCTTTCTTTGTCAGAGAGAGACAGAGAGAGAGAGGGAACACAAGCAAGGGGAGTGGGAGAGGGAGAAGCAGGCTTCCTGCCGAGCAGGGAGCCCGATGTGGGACTAGATCCCAGGGACCATGGGACCATGACCTGAGCCGAAGGCAGACGCTCAACTGACTGAGCCACTCAGGTGTCCCTTATTATTATTTTAAAGATTTTATTTATTTATTTGAGGGGGAGGGATCGAGAGAGAGAGAGAGCCCAAGGAGGTGAAGGACAGAGGGAGAGGGAGAAGCAGGCTACCGCTGAGCAGGGAGCCAGATGCAGGGCGCCAGATGCAGGGCTTGATCCCAGGACCCTAGGATCATGACCTGAGCTGAACGCAGCCGCTTAACCAACTGAGCCACCCAGGCGCCCCTGAAACAAAATTATTACTTTGAAAAAAAAAATGTTAGGAGTAATTGTCCATGATAATTTTTTTTTTAATATTTTATTTATTTATTCATGAGAGTCAGAGAGAGAGAGAGGGGCAGAGGCAGAGGGAGAAGCAGGCTCCCCGCCTAGCAGGGAGCCTGATGCGGGGCTCGATCCCAGGACCCTAGGATCATGACCTGAGCCGAAGGCAGACGCTTAACCATCTGAGCCACCCAGGTGCCCTGTCCATGATAATTTTAAGGATGAGTTTGTCTTTCTCATGTTAGAGGAGCTGTCACAAAGGAAAACATTGAACATGATCATAAGTACTAATAAACCTTTTATTTCATTATAATGCTATTTTTAGTCACAGAATAGTTCTGAAATATCAGTCTCTTGCATTAATGTACTCTTTTTTAAAAAGTAATTTGTGTTGGCAAATAAGAAGAGGTGGGAGAGTGATTTTTTTTTTTTAAAGATTTTATTTATTTATTTGACAGAGAGAGAGGCAGCGAGAGAGGGAACACAAGCAAGGGGAGTGTGAGAGGGAGAAGCAGGCTTCCCGTGGAGCAGGGAGCCCGATGTGGGGCTCGATCCCAGGACCCTGCGATCATGACCTGAGCCGAAGGCAGACGCTTAACGACTGAGCCACCCAGGCGCCCCGGGAGAGTGATTTTTAATTAGCTGGCCTGGAAAGCTGCTTTTCTGATTACTAAATGTAGTGTCTGGGAGGACCATTCTTCCTCTTAGAGTTTCTTCAAGACCTATTCTGCAAGTGGCCAAATACAGATGACAAAGGTTGTCAGAAGTTCAGTTGAAAATCTTTTATAATTATTTGGTTTATGTTGAAAGCTTGTGTGCATGCTCACAGACTGTTGTGTCAAGTGTGCGATACTCTCTTTAGCATTTACAGTGGCATTAGACCAGTTGCCCCTTAAGTTTGCTCTCCTTACTTTCTCCCACAAATAAGCTGTTGTCAGTCTTGTAGATTTCACAAACCCAAGACTTACTTATGGGTGTCCTTTGCTGAATGAAATGGGGTAAGATGTTTTTCTCAAATGTTTCACATACTGGGGTGCCTGGGTGCTCAAGTCGATTAAGTGTCTGTCTTCGGCTCAGGTCATTTTCCCGGATTCCTGGGATTGAGTCCCCCATCGGGCTCCCTGCTTCGTGGGGAGTCTGCTTCTCCCTCTGCCCTTCACCCGGCTTGTGCTCGTGCGCTCTCTCTCTCGCAAATAAATCTTAAAAAAAAAAAAAAAAAAGACAATACAAGTTGTATACATATGCACCTGTGCTGACTATACCATGTGTAATTTTTCTAGGACTTTTACTTTTTGTCTTGTTAACCTAAGAGGACAGGATTCTGTCTTGCATAGGTGTCTTGTTTATTCATATTAGCAAGCATAATCGAGTTTGTACACTGCAGAATTATTTCTCTGGAATAAATAAGCTTTATTGTTTTCTGTAATTAAAAAAGCAATGCAGAGGGGTGCCTGGGTGCCTCAGTCAGTTGAGCATCTGCCTTCGGCTCAGGTCATGATCTCAGGGTCCTCGGATTGAGCCCTACATTGGCCTTTGCGCTTGGCAGGGCATCTGCTTCTCCCTGTCCCTCTGTGTGCGCTCACGGTCTCTCTCTCAAATAAATAAAATCTTTAAAAAAAAAAAAGTAATGCAGAATGATAAAAAATTAAATTAAACATCCTCATTTAGATAATTCCTTTTTTCAGTATATACATATATA